CCAGGAGTGTGAGGCTGCAGTGAGCTATGATGATGCCACTGCACTCCAGCTCAGGCAACAGAGCAAGACCCCGGCCTCAAAATAAATAAATAAACTAAAATAAATAAATAAACGAACAAACAAAATCACTTGTGAATTCATTAAGTACCATTAAAATTTTGGTGTCTGTCCTTCTGGTCCTATTGTGCTTTCTCTTTCTCTCTCTCTTTCTCTCTGGAATATTCTATCTATGTCTATACTTTTCTCTCACCAAATTAGAAAAATGTTCTATGTAATACTTTGTAGCCTATTTTTTCATTTCCTGATATAACTTGAACATATTTCCGTGTTGTTAATTATTCTTCCGCAGTAACGTTTTGAAAGGCAGCCTCATATTTCACTCTATGGCTATACCATTTATTTACTGTAACTCCTGTTGAAGGACGTATGAGTTGTTATAATTTTTTACTATTCTAGACCACACAGTGAAGGAAGGCTAATCTCTGCTCGTGTCCAGAATTGCTTCCGTAGGCTCTGCTCCTAATGTGGACTTGCTGCGTCGAAGGCCGTGGCTGTGTGTGGACAGCTCGCCCTGCAGAAGGTCTGCATCATTTACATATGGGAATCCTAATGAGGCGAATGGGGTGGACCCAGCGCAGCTATGGTTGACGTGCTGACGGCAGGACACACGCGGCCACGGCACAGAGATCGTCAGCCTCCAGGGCTCCACTCAGAGCCTCGTCCACATGCGGCAGAAACTGGTTTTCTTTGGTGCCTGTTAAATGGCTGCTCAAGGACATAACGCCCAGGCCAACCTCTTTGTGCCAGCTAACCAGTTCACACACAAGAGTATGCCAGCAAGAGTCACTGCTGGGAGGTGCTCGCGCATGCGCCCCGTCTTCCCTTTCTTTTAAATCCGATTTTTGTCTTTGTTCCTTGACTTGCTCAACCAACTGACCACCTCATATATGAGTCAAAAATCTACACACAAAATAATTCAACTGCAGGCAAACTAGGTGTCTCTGGCACATTCTTTGGCACTAAATGTTGGCTGTGGTTACACCCATCATCATCATCTTCTTCATCCTTATCATCACTGTTTATAATAAATAGAATAAATAACTAAGCTTTTCTTCTGCACCATCTAATCTGCTATTAATTCTGTCCACTGCACTTTTCATCTCAGGGTATTTTTTTCTCTCTATAAATTTGATCTAGATTTTTTTATATCCTCCACACTTCTACTTAACATGCTCAAACTTTCTTTTATCTTCTTAAATGCATAGAATATAGTCATTCCCCCTTATACGCAGTTTCGATTTCCGAGGTTTCGGCTACCCATGGCATACGGGACACTAAGATATTTTGAGAGTGGAGGAGACCACATTCACGTAGCTTTTATTACAGTATATTGTTGTAATGGTTCTATTTTATTATTGTTGTTAATCTCTTGCTATGCTGAATTTATAATTTAAACTCCATCGTAGGCATGAATACATAGGAAAAAGTACACAGAATTCGGCACTTTCTGCCGTTTCAGGCATCTGGGGGTCTTAGAACATATCCCCTATAGATAAGGGGGGGGCTGTAGTTATAACTTTCAATGTCTTTATCTGCTAATCCTGTCATTTGTGTCATTTCTGGGTCTTTTTCCTATAGTTTGGTGGTTTCTTTAGATGAGATTTCCAGAAGTGAAATTGCTGGGTCATTAGATAGAAGGTTTTAGAGTTTTTTCCTTTCTCTGCAAGTCTGTAGGAATTGGGAAACCCCGTTGTTTCTGCCGCATCAGCAGTGTCTGAGCGCCCATCGGCGCCCATCGGACCCGGTTCTTTCTCGAGATTTGCCAGGCAGCCGGTGTGTTTTCACTTCCCTGGTAACAGTTGGGAAAACACTTGACGATGCTGTCCAGCCGCAGTGCAGCCAGCTCCCCGGGTGGAGGCTGGGAGACAGCCAGGTCTGCTAATGCTGGTTACCACCGGCGGGGCTTCTACCGCGTGTCAGGCGCTGGGTTGTTACCACCTTTAATTTTCATGACCACACCATGAAGAAGACACTGCTAGCCTATCTTACAGGGGCTGAGAGAGGTTAGAAACTCAACCAGGGTCACACGCCAGGTAGGTGGCCAAGTTTGGGTTAGATCACAAGCCTGCCGGAGCCTAGCCTTACCAGGCGTGGGGCACTGTTCTAAGAACACACAGATTAAATGTAAGTGGTCTCTGCCCTCATCTCCGTTCGACAGGTGAGTCACTGTGTCCTGGAGCTCTGCCATACGTATGTTCTCACTGTCCCAGCATAGAGGTGGAAGTGGGAACAGCTGGCAGAGTCTGGAAACCTGCTGCCCCCAACCTCACTGCAGAAGAGAAGAAAGGGGACTCCCTTTCCCTTTTCCTAAGAACACCCCAGTGGGGTGAGAGCACAATATCTCAGCCACTAGCTAGCGACCTCGTCTCCACCTGCCCCTGCCTGCAATGCCCCCTTTACCAGAACATTTGCCTGGATTCCCTCCATGGTGAAAACCTGCCAGAGCCCATCAGCAGAGAAGCTCAGCATTCCTGCAGGTTTGCATGATCGGGGAAAAGCAGAGGGAGCTGGGCCTCCCTGTGTGGGGAAGAGGAGCGAGGGAGAGGCTTGAGGTCGGCCTCTGTGGGAGGGGACCCACTTTTCTCCATCTGCCCCAAGGCAGAACCAAAGGAAGTGGGTTAAACAGCTGGAACCGCTGACACTGGAACAGCTGATAGAACCATGGCTCTATCTATTCGGTCAGCTGCAGCAGATCTACTCAGTGAAAACACCACGTCAGTGAGTCACAACACACACGACATAGAGGAATCTCACAAACATAAGGCTGCACGAAAAAAAGCTGGACACAAAGGAGTACAGACTGAGATTCCGTTTCTAGGCCATTCCAAAACAGCCAAGCTGACTTGTGCTGTCTCTTGTCAGGACAGCAGTTACCCACCGACGTGTGTGTTGACTGGAAGGGTTACTGGAGGTCTTCCGGGTGCTGCTAATGTCTGTGTCTTTGGGTGTTGGTTACATGGGTGTGTTCACATTGTGAAAATGTATCCAGCTGCTCACTTGATGCTTTGTGCATTTTCCTGTATGTATGTTATACTTCAATACGTTTAAACAATAACAACAACGATGATGATTGATAATTGAAAAAAACAAACGGATTCAAACTCCAGCAGGCAATACTTCAGATATCCTTCTAGACTATGAACAATTGAAGTTGTGTAGTAGAAAGTCCCAGCACTGTTATCAGAAAGCTCTGGCTCTGAATTCTAGCTTAATAACGGTGTTTGTTACCTTGGTCACATTGCTTCACCTCTCTGAGCCTCAGTTTCCGATCTGAAAAATGGGGCCAAGGAGGTGTCCCCTGCAGGCTTGTTGTCATGGTTACAGGTAGCGTGATTGGCACACAGTAGGTAGTCAATAAATGCATGACACGTGGTGACCCCTCCTTCCAGGAAGAAAGAGCCCAAGGTTCTGACCAAGGCAAGAGCCGGGGCAAGCCTCTTTCTGCACCCCAGGCCCAGACTCTCTCGTTTCTAAAGGACGCAGAGCTGGTCAGTTGCAATCAGGGGATTTCCACTTTGACCTCTCAGTCCACTCAGAGGGACTCGGATCCGGACCGGTGGTCACAAGATGGCTCTTTCAAAATCACTTGAAATCCCAGCACCCACCAGCTTTGAGATGGTCATTGCTGGAAGGTTCTTCCCTGTTTTCAGCCCAGCCCAGCCCCCTGCTGCCTCCTCAAGGCCACATCAGGCTGGGAGGTGTCAGAGTCTGGGTGGCCAGAAGGAGGCTGGGGGGTCCCACAGACCTGACATGGGTCTTGACATCCCCTCTGCTTTCGCATCTGTTAAGTGGGGCAAAATAATGATGCCCAGCCAGTGGGGCTGTTATGAGGATCCCAAGATGCGGGGCACATGCAACGTTTGGCAATGTGGCTCGCGCAGAGCACGCGCTCACTCGCGGTAGCTGCTGTTGTTCGTATTAGCGTATGGGAGGCAAAAGGTGCTCTTCCAAGAAATCCCACAGGAGCCCAGCAAGTGATTCCATTCAACAGGCATTTCCTGAGCACCTACTGTGTGCCAGCCCCCACCTAGACCTAGCACACTGTGCAGGGTACAGAGAAGAAGGAGCAAGACAAGTCCCTGCCCACTAGGAATGTACAGTGTTCCCGGAGCGAGCAGAAGCTTTTCCAGCTGGTTGGGGCTGGGCCCTGCAGACCCCGGGTGGCCCATCTGGAGGGTGTGGGTGGGGGATTCATACTGATTTGCACAAGTTGATTAGCTTGGAGGTGACTTTCTCTGCCTGGGGAGTCAGAATGGAGGGATGACTGTGGACACCAAGACAGTCGTCTGGTGAATTTGGCCTGAGCCCCGTGGAGAGAGCCCTATAGAACCTCCAGGGACCCCTACGGTCACCAGGAGGAGGTCTGCAAGGCACAGGGGACATAGGGTGCCAAGGTGGCATGGGGTGGGGCTGGGCGTGCACCTCTTCAGTGCAGTGCATGGTGTGGCTCTGAGGCTGGAAGGTTAGGCAACCACGCTGGGCACCCTGAGAGCCTAGCTTTGGGGGAACCCGGGGTCAGCACCCAGGCTAGGCCCTGTCTCTGAGGGTGCTGAGGCCTCCGTGCACAAGGTGGGGGCGGGGGACCAGAGAGCATGAGCAGCCTGTGGCCTTCAAGGCTCTTCTGGACAGAAGTAGCAGCAAGGCTTTGTGTTTTCTGAGGTGGGCAGGGAGGTGCTGACTTATGCGGTGGGCCGAGAAGCCAGGGGCGGGGAAACCAACTTTCAGACTTTGACATCCTGCCACCTCTTTGGTCATCAATTGACAGCCATCACTGTTTTTTTTTCTCTTTATCCCCGTTAAAATCAGCAAGCCCCTTGGCTCGGGGCTGCACCCCCTTCTCTTTCTTTGGGGTGCCATGCTGTGTCCCTGCTCTCCCTCTCTTTGCTCTCTCTCTCACTCTCTCATTCTCTCTCTTTCTAAAAAGATAAAATAAACTTTTTTGCTTTTGTATATCCTAATCTCTGTGTGAGAAACTTTTCTCCGCCCGTGCTGTGAGCACCCACGAGACTTTCCACCCTAGCAGTAGGATAGATCTCACGGTTTTAACTTCCATTTCTCTAGTGAGTAGCACTGAGCGCCTTTTACTGTGTGCTCATTTGCCAATCTGTAGACCTTCTTTGAAGTGTCTGTTCAAATCTTTTGCTTCTTTTTTTTAATTGGGTTATTTGTTTTCTTATTATTGAGTATTGAGAGTTCTTTACATATGCTGGATACAAGCCCTTTATTGGATATGTGCTTTGCAAATATTTCTTCTGTTCTGTGATTTATCTTTCCATTATCTTAACAGGATCTTTGAAAAAGCAGAAGTTAAATTTTCATGCAGTCCATTTTATTGATTTTTTTTTCTTTTACATATTATGCTTTTGGTGTTGTGTTAAGAAATCTGCCTAATCCAAGGTCACAAAAATGCTCTCCTGTTTTCCTCCAGAAATTGTATAAGCTTCGGTTTTACACCTAGGTCTATGGTCCATTTTTTAAATATTTATTTTTTTAAATTGTAAAATACATGACGTAAAATGTACTATCTTAACCATTTTTAAGTGTACAGTTTAGTGCCATCAAGCACATTCACGTTGTTGTGGTAATATCACCATCATCCATCTACAACAGTGGTCCCCAACCTTTTTGGCACCTGGGACTGGTTTCATGGAAGACAATTTTTTTCACAGACTCTGGCGGGGGTGGGAGAGGGGGATGGTTTGGGGATGATTCAAGCACA